TGGAGTTAGCTGTGGTCTGCTATGTGGGTGCCAGGGCTGAACCTGGATCCTCTGAAAGAGCAGCAGGTGCCCCTAACCGTCTGCAAGTGCTGCAGTGGGCCCACAACATCAAGGTTGGCCTGAGCTACAGAGTTAATTGAGGCTAGCCTAGACTACAGAATGACTCCTTACTTCAAAGAACCCCAAAATTTCTGTGATGCTCATTATATGAAACATTTCCACATCCCCTGCAGGTGTCTAAAAGAAAAGCTGGGCACAGCGGCACACTGGTGGGAAGGGGTGCCGGTGCCGCAAAGGCAGACAGGTCTAGATAGCAAGTAACAGGCTAGCGAGACCCACACAGAGACCCTGTCTCAAACACTTAAATTCAGCTCATGAATAAACTATGACTGTTAACAAATTTTGTTTATTCAGACTCTCAGTGACTGTCTTTTTCTCTTCTGTTCCATTCCTGTTTATTTTTACTTTTTAACGATTTATTTTATGTGCATTGGTGTTAAGGTGTCAGATCCCCTGGAAGTGGATTTACAGTTGTGAGCTGCCATGTGGGTGCTGGGAATTGAACTCAGGTCCTCTGGAAGAGCAGTTAGTACTCTTAACCACCGAGCCACTTCTCCAGTCCATTTTTCTTTTTGAGGGACAATTTCCCACCCACATCTAAGGAAAGTCATTTCTAACTCCACACACACTGTTCATGGGGGAAACTGGTGGACAGCCTGGGCTTTGTGCAGCTGTCCAACTACACACCAAGTTTCTCTTTAGCTTTTCCAGACAAGGTTTTTCTGTGTAGTGTTACTTGCCTCTGCCTCCAGAGTACCAGACTCATACCCATGTTCTTAGCAATCACTAGGTAACCGTCATTTCTGCACGGTCTCATTTAGATGTGAGGGCATGTAGTGTTTTCCCCGGACAGCAGCTTAGGACTGACTACCACCTATACCTCAACAACCTCAAGAGGACACCAGCTCCACTGTCCAGATGGGTACCAGGTCAGTCAGGGTTTCCAGTCACCTGGCAAGCACTCCATGGTGGCTACACTGAAAATCCCTTCAAAGGGGCACAGCCCCCAGTCTCCACTGCGCCCTACTTCTGATTGGAAGACTTTTCTAAAGTGGACTACTGCTGTGGAAATGTTCCACTCCTCTCCCCAACACTGCACAGCTCACCACGCTGTCCACTTCTGGACTCCCCATGGTGACATCCTCTACAGCAGAAGCCTTCCTCTCTTCCCTTCGCTCCCAGCCATGCTTAAGTGAGTGAGTGGATGGATAAACCCCAGCAGCTGTTCCACACCACTGGATCTGCCCCTCTCAGGTGTGGACTGGCTTTGGTCCTCACTCCAGCCCCATGAGCTGTCACCAGATAACCCATCTCTGGGACTGTCCTTTCTCTGAACACATGGCAGTCAGTTGTATCATAAATGTCCTTAGTTTTCAAGTCTTCTCTAACCATTCACGGAAGCAGAGCCTTTCTCTTCCCCAGTCTTCCGCAGTGCCACAATTTTAAGGCATGACTCATGTAGCCAATGGGCCTCCCTGCACCCTCTGGGTGCTGGAGTTAGAGCTCTGTGTCCTGTGCCCACAGGGTCTGTTGGCCTTAGATCAGTGTTCTGGAGCCCTAAGCACAGGGTGGAGCACCACTTCATTCAAAGGGTGGGCTTGGTCATTTTCCCTTCCCTGAGGGTACAGCAGGCACACTGGCTGGGGAGGAGAGGAAACTCCACACAGGGACAGGGCACTGCACCCTCTCCTTTATTTCACCCCCTCTAGAAGGAGCTTCCAGTTCAGCAGCTCTCCTTTCCTGCCCAAGTCCCCACCAACAAGTGACCACAGGCCTCAGACGCTCGCCTCCAGCCGTCTGTGGTTCCGACTATGACAGTGAGTCAGGACCAGACCTCCTTTCAGAAGGACTGGACAGTGTCAGTTCTGAGTGGCAAGAGGGGACTCTACCACGGCAAAGGTCCCCTCAGCTACCTGAGGGGGCAGCCCTGCAGTGGGAAGGACACAATCCTCACAGCAAGTCAACACTCCACCTCCATGGCCCATGGGCTGCAGTCGGCAGCAGACACAGCAGGCTTCTAGGTGGATAGAAAGGGGGTGGGCAGAGATTCCAGTCACAGGAGCTTGTCTCAGCAGGCTTCCAGGAGGGGAGCTCAATCCCGAGGTCGATTGATCATGACTTCACCCAGGGCCTCCAACACCTCTCGCTTGTAGTCATCGAAGTCACCATCGATTTGACTGACACTCTGCTCCTCCACCACCCACAACTGGCAGTTGGTTTCTGTGATGAGTCGGGCATCGTGGCTAACAACGATCACAGCTTTGGAGAAAGATTGTAACAGAGGAGAGGGGACTCAGAATAGAAGAGGAGAGCCCAGTTCACACTTTTCGGCTGCTCCTCCCATCTGAGCAGACTTACCTCCTTTG